CATGTGGACAGAAATGTTTTACTTCTGGTGTCCACTTTTCTGGAATATTTTCCAAACTATCTGGACTATCGACCGCAAAACACATTAGAATAACATCGGTATCTGGATAGGATAATGGACGTAAACGATCGTAACTAAACATAACGTAGATTAGTAAGAATGTAGTTTAATTTAAAAAGTTAAAACTTACTCTTCTTGCCCCGCTGTATCCCATAATGCTAATTCAACCTTGAATGAAAAATAAAAAAAGTCATGTTAACACATTACTTCAAAATCTATAGATATAGTATCACAAAGAATTGAATATACAATTGATCACCTTAAAAATTGATAGAAATAAAATTTTATTACAATGGCATTAGACTATAATGCTTTATCATGCTACTAAACATTTACAACAGTAATCATTTAAAAGAAAACTAACATGAGGAGACGATGTATAAAAATAATTTCTTGTTCAATATATTTTCTCTGGGTATTAGTACACAATGAATAAAAGAGTAAAATGCAACAAACTGAGGAGTTTTTGAATTTCTTAATATATTTTTCTTCTTTTGCAGAGAAGATTTTGATAAATGGATATTGTTTTGATTCATCGTGTAATGACTATAAATAGTCGCTAATCGAAGACAGATCTTACATCTTAATTGAATAGAAATGAAAAATGATAAAGAAATGTTTAACAAAAAGAGAAGGTAAAAGTCTCTAACAAATACAGAAATCTCAACACATATGTACGTTACATATTGTAGTCATTATCAAACAGTGAACAGAACTGAAAAAGAAAGTCAAACGGGTTGCATAGTATACACCGCTAGAAAGCAGTGGCGCAATACTGAAGACACGAGAAGCACAAACGCACACGATCTTATACACTAAAAAGGTTGCTTCTTACAAAAAGTTGCTAAATACACAATCTGCAACTTCATACCCAAAAACTACATATTTACAGAAAAAAACAAAGATAAGGCAATTAGAAGAGACAAACATCTATCTTGTCTTTTGTTAGAGAATGTTGTTTATAAAAGATGACATTTTCGTGGTAATCCCCGACGACGTTTTTTACTATTTAAAGCCGTTTTTGTTGCCATTTCAAACACTTCACGGATATTTTCTTTTGTTCGAGCTGAACATTCTAAATAGTGTGCTTCTATTTTATCAGCAACAGCTTTGCCATGTTCGTAACGAATTGGTTCCTTTTTCTGTTTAGCTAATTCTGTTCGAATATATGGATCGTTACGTAAATCTTTCTTATTACCGATTAGTAAACACGGTATCCTCGGACAAAAATGTTTGACTTCGGGTTGCCATTTTTCAACAATATTTTCCAAACTATCCGGATTATCTATGGCAAAACACATTAAGATTACGTCAGTATCAGGATAAGATAATGGACGTAGTCGATCGTAGTCTTCTTGACCAGCCGTATCCCATAACGCTAATTCAACCTAAAAACAAGTAGAATGAATAATCACTAGAGTACAGCGGAAAAAAAATGAGAAAATAGGCCAATTTTTTTCACCTTGGCAACTAAGCACGGATGTTGAAGACCCTAATGCCACTAAAAGCAATAAACTAGCAAAATAGAAATATGAACCCCTTTCATAGCAGCGTAGAGTTAGAAAGACTCGTTGTTTTTCCTCAAATTATTTTTTTTATCTTTAGTATACAATGATTAATGTTGTACACTCTTTTAATCTACCTCATCAAAAATCTAACTGGAAAGAATTATCAGATTTAATAACTCGCTTCTAGTTGCTCAAAGATTACAGCATATCATACACTATACACAATGGAAAGCTAAGCACAAACATTCTAAGCATAAACATAACATAAAGCTTTTTTTTCATCTGAAAAAGCTCACCTTCAGTTTGATTGGATTTAAAGCTGAATTAATTTCATGTAACACCATATATGATCTTGATTTGTTCTCGCTTTTTTAGCACACGCGCATATTTAACGAAAATGAACATTGCAACAGTCTGTGATTAGTATAACACGTTTGCACATATAGCAGCAATACACAAAACAACAAAAAATAAAATAGAAGCAAACATCGTGTGCGTATGTATAATAGACATAGAAATAACATCCATTGTATAAACATCAAATATCATAACTTTTTTTTCCCGATGACCAACAACAACAAAAAACAACAACAAAACATTTTTCTAAAATATCTCTACAAACCTGTTTTCCGTCAACTTCAATATCAGCAACATAATTTTCAAATACTGTTGGAACGTAAACTTCTGGAAATTGATCTTTGCTGAATACAATTAACAGACATGTTTTTCCTACAGTGAACAAAAATTATATCTTAAAATAAATGACGTTTTCTTTTCAATAATAGCTCACCACAAGCACCATCGCCGACAATTACCAATTTTTTCCGAATAGCAGCCATATTTTTATGTTTATCTATAGAAATAGTGAATCACATGAAATACATAGTAAATGAAATAACTTGGTAAATTCAAATCGATCACGTACTAGAAATATATGGATAACTCATATGCGAGAGGTTTACTTAGTTTTCTCTTGTTCTTTATATTTACTAACAATCTATCTCGTCTTTTCCTGTTGTCTTTTTTGATCACGTCTTCAGCGTAGATACTTTTTTCAAACATAATTGAAACTCAAGTGGCTGAGTGATGTGAAAAAATTTTTTGTGAATTTGAACACTGACAAATGTGTTGCTATGCCTTTTCCAATTTAATAGTATCCTATGTCGAAAAGCTAGCTGTCCGTAGTAAGTAGAATATCATATTCAGCTGCCTGCTTCAAGTTACCTATTTTGTGACTAATATATTTCGAGTTCTGCCTGTCGAGAGTTAATTGCAATTACTTTCCTAGAAATATTCTTTAGAACCATCCTACACTTTAGAATGAAGACATAACTTTTCGTTCTAGTGTATTCAATATTCACACCTTATATTAACCATTAAATATACATGTAAAGATGTTTCATGAAACGACTGAATTAGTCGTTTGATGATTCAGACATTCAGTCACTTCACTTATTTGACTGTGTGCTGGTATGGTGCTGATGATTCAATTATATTATATTATATCCGTTAAATTATTCACAGCCATTATAATCTTCTTAAAGTGCATACTTAGATAACTTGTCATATGATCTAAGCTAGGTTCTACAGTTACTTTCAAGAACTGCAAAAAATTTCATTAATTTAAGTGAATCTTTCACTATACTTCGCTCTGGTGCATTGTATTTAATTAAGTTTACTAATATAAGGATCTCGAGACAGCTATGCACTCCAGCCCTCTGTCTCCTGGCGGCACCTACACATTACGCATTAGGCGATAATAATAAACGAGAAAGCTATCTGATGACCTATAATATCAGTGACAACAGTAGAATTAAAGCGAATTCGTACTTATACGAGATTAATATTAAATTTAAATTAACATAACTTTTACAGCTCAAGAGTGAGAAAAACTCTTCATCTTTTTCTCCAAAAATGGCTGTTTAGACTTATATCAACCTAATAAATGGCCGTATAAAAATTGGTTTGCTCGATGAAAAAGAAGACATATAGCTCGTATGTTTAAACAATCAACAAAACTGTCGATGATAACAAAACATATTACGAATGTGAATATGACCGAACAACAAAATGGAAAGGAAGACCTTATACTGACGTATTTACAAACTGTGAGCTTGTTGTTCAGTGTTTCGTTTTGAAATCAGGCAAGACGAGCAATCACGTGATGGGATACATTTGTTATACAACTATCGATAATCTATTGTGTACTTTCATTTGTTGTCACAGTACGAGCTCGAATTTTGTGTTCAAGTAGTCGAAAAGAGCAGGCAGTTGAAAGATGATTGTGATCGTCCACTTCAGGCACAGCAGTAGTGTTACATTTTATTATTCCATAGTGTCCATATTTCCAATATGTTCTGTCGATCGTATAAGCATAACAGATGAGATGCAAATCTTGTTTTTTTCATCTGTTCTATTGTAAAAGAATGTTCAGCTCCTTTGGTAAGCCACTGAGACAGTATTCATGAAATCGACTAGACTAATATTTCAGTATTCGATCAATTTTTGCTCTTCCGATAAAAAAAAGTTTCACAAGTATTTTGAAGGACGGCCTATGCTCTGCAAGAACTGCAAAAATATGTTAGTATCTGGAGACTAACAAGTGACATTTATAAACTTTCCATTATTTTTCGATATTCATAATTAAATGATTAATAAAACATCATGTGTCTCAATTTATCTTCGTTGCTATATCCTAGAATCTGAATAATTTTTTAATTAAGTGACTATTAGAACATCTGCAATGCAGAGTTGTATTGAATGTTTAGACATGTGCATTTTATGATGAAAAGAAAATACAATACAAAGTATATAAAAATAATAACAAACTCGTCAAATGACATCAATGTAATATCTGGCAATAGTGAACAAGTTCTACTTGTCTCAATAAAATTTGGTAAATAAGATAGACTATTTTAATATAAAAACATAATCAGTAAATCAAGAGTTATTTATTACCATATTTCATTCTATTCAACTTTTTTCAGTGATATAAAGTATAATAAACCTAAGCAACATATTTTTATTTTACAAATGCTACATCTAAATAATAGGCTGAAAATGAAAACAAAACAACAACAACAACACATTGAACACGAAAAACAAACAAGTGTACGTGCAAGTGGAATGAAAAGAAGTATCACCAAATGAAAACCTGACAGAAACAAAAAAAAAAGAAGAAAATCCAAATGTCTACAATAACAAAAGGAGAAATAATAATATTATCCTATACTATACTATCACGATAAGATCAATACTAAATTATTAATAACTAAAAGTAAATAAAAAAAAATGAAATAGTTGCTATTTGTGAATATCTAAACTTTGTTATACTCGCTGAAGTTATTAATTTACTACATTCAATATGAAGAAATATTAGTCAAATTTTTAATGAATCAAATCGAAAATCAAACTCTAAATCATTTTACTTTTTTATAAATTTAAATCTAGTATAAAATTAAACAGTAAATCTAGTATGAAATTAACTATTAAGATTAAATAATGTAATGTAACTCTATGTGACTGTGATATTAAAGATTTTGTATTTAATATTTGTTGTCCTATGATCAATGTTGTGATTGTTGTTGTTAATGATTCATTACTATCCATTGATCGATTATCAATTGTAAAACTAATATTATTTGAATTTGTTACTAATAATAATGAAATATTTATCATTGTTGTATTTTCAAAATATAAATGTGTTTGATTAAATTTTAATTTTGATGTTGAATTAAATTTTTGAGATTTTTTTTCACATGTTCCTTTCATTTGTATATTATGAGCAGTTGGCCATACGCATAGAGTTTGATTAGAATATTTATCACAAAAATTTAATGTACAATTATTTTTATTTGTTGATTCTAATGCTGAAACAAAATATCGATCTAAAATAATAATAAAAAACAATAAAAAAAATTTATCTAAAAAATATATTTTATTTTAAATTACCTTGTCCATATTGTGTACATGATAAATCTTGATAATTAAATAAATATTGTTGAAATTGTATTAATATACAATTACATTTTAAATTAATATTATTATTTACATCTAAAATATATTTATTATGTCGTGTACTATCTGTTGTATTTAATCGACATAATAATTCACCAAATGAATTTAATGTTATTAAATTATTATTACGAAATGATAAACGTTGTAATGTAAATAAATTAATATAACAAAATGCTCTAGGAGTTGTTATATTTAATAGATAATTATCATCAAAATCAATATATGTTATTGAATGTAAATTGGCTGCAAAATAATCTGAAACACGTTCAATTAAATTAGATGAAAAATTAAGAGTTATTAATGTTTGACTATAAAAAGCGGGAATTAAACGAATATAATTATTTGTTAAACTAAGAATTTCTAAATATTTTAAATTTTTTAATAAATTATTATCAATTAAATCAATATGATTATAATCTAATATTAAATGTTTTAAATTATATAGACCATCGAATAATCCATTACATAATGTTGTTATATTATTATGACTTAAATCAAATAATTCTAAATTATAATGACCAAATATTTGTGTTGTCATATTTTTGTTATCTTCATGAGATAATGTAATAATTTCTCGTTTTGTTTGTAATTTTAATAATGTATAAAGACTCGTATTATTAATATTATTCCATCTTGCATAAAATATTTTTAATTCCGGTAATTGTACAAGAATTTCACCAACATCAAGTTGTTGCTCGAATGGATTATTAGAAATATCGAATTTTTCTAAAGTTAATAAGAAAAATCATCAATTGTTTCCTTCTTATTTTTATGAAAACTTCCTAGGACTTGTCCGTTTTCCAAAAGAAAAGGAAGTTTGAAAATTTTTGTGGTTTGGAGAGGGGGACTTTTTGTCACTAGCTGTAAACACACAATTGAGTAGCTGTAAACTTTCGGGATGAAATTGTAATTGATCAAATTTCAGTATAAATTTGGTGTTTATAGCTACTGAATGCACTAGTTACAGACAGTACATTATCGATCTGATGTTGTAAACACAAGTTTTAAAAATTATTAGGATATATTATTACATGTTCTATGTTGTAGTCCAATAGTTCAATAGGAAGTTTTTACATTTTTGCTTCATAGAAGCAACGCTGACAAGCTTTATTTTTGTTCCCCTGTCTCGCAGCTATAGCTCGAGTCCAGGTTAAGCTTTTAGTATATTCGATCTTTTAAAAAATGAGCCAAGAATAAATCTTTGTCATGCACACTTCTCTATCAACGGTTCATCCGATCAATGTGGTTCCTTCACACTTTATGTTCAATATATTGTGTAGATGTACCCTTTCAGCAGACTAAAATTTAACTGATCTGTAGTTGTTGAGATATTTTGGAAACAGTCAATTTTTTCTATCTTATAACTCATAAGCATACAATAGATAATTAAATGAAGGTAGACTGAAAAGCATCAAACAGGAGCTTGTATGATTCATAACACAATGATGCTATCGAAGCATCGACGTCAATCTACATCTTATTATACTATTAGATTCAATTGCGTTCGTGGTGTTGAGAAAGTTTACTGACAGTCAACATCAGTATCATATACAGACAAAAAAACTTATGTAACATACACATACATTTGATCTATTACTATTATTCTAGCCGTTATTCACTGTTCATTTTGCGCTTTCGTTGTTCTTCCTATCATTCTCATCACCTAATGCATTAATTACTTTAAAGTTTTCTTGTTCAATTTATACATTTCTCAAAAATACAGTTTGATCAGTTAAACTTAACCTAAAGTACTACATCAAATCGCGAGACAGGAACCGATCTACCAAGATCGTGTTGAGATAAAATGAATAAATATTTTCTTTCCATGCAGATGAAAACAGTCGTTCGATGGGTGCGGCGAGTACTCAAAAATAGGCCCTCGCAGAGGGTGCGAATCCTCGGAAAATGACACTTCAGACCCTCGATATAAGCTTTCGAGGGGTATTGATTTCGAGCCCTTGAAGATAGATAGCGAGGCGAACAGAGATGTTCGGGACTTCCGAGCCCTCGCTCCCCCAATGGTGCGATGAAGGTTCCGAGCGCTCGCTCCTCGGAGAGTGCGGCGAGGGTTTGGAAGTCCCGAATATCTCTATTCGACGGCCTGAAATTTTTCTCGAGAACTTGCTACTTATTCAAAATCTGAGGGCTCGAAATCGATACACCTCAAAAGCTTATATCGAGGGTCCGAAGTATTATGTTCCGAGGATTTGAGCCCTCTACGAGGGCCTATTTTTGAGTACTCGTTCAAGCCCTTGGTGAAGGCCTATCGAAAGAATATTTTCAAGCACTCGAAGTACTTAATAGAATGATTTATATTAATGTGAAACAAAATAATTAGTCTTGAATGATATTTAATTTTTAACTCTATTCCTATCATTAATTGATAACATATCTCATAGAGAAAAGTCAACATAAATTGATATGAAGTTAAAAATATGTCTTACCCATATATTTTCCCGTTGATTTTAGAGATAATGGATCAAATCCTTTCATTTGATTATGTTTTAGATATAATTCTTTAAGATTTTTAATTGATTCAAATGCTGTTTGCTCAATTCGTCCAATATAATTATTTGATAAATCAATTTTTTCAACATATATATCAGAAAATATGTAACTATCAACAGATGTAATATAATTTTGTGAAAAATCTAATGCATTCCATCGCATATTAATAGGTAGTTTAATTAATGAATGTAATTTACTATTACGACAACTAAAATATTAAAAGAAAATAAAAAAATAATTTTAAAAAAAAGATAAAGATTTGAGTTTGTTAAATATTTAGTTGTTTTTTGTTGTTTAAAACTCTACCGTAATTGTGAAGCATGATCAGAGTGATAACATTGACATTTGATGGGTAATATAAGATGTTTACAATCCGAGCGTGAAACTGATTCATTTGGATAAATTGTTGAAATACTACATAATATCCACAATAATGTCAGATGAACAAAATAAACAAAGTGGAACGATGTCAACATAATAGAAAATATTTTTTGACAATTAATTATTTTTTTTACATATCTGAAAAAAAAACAGAACAAAAATTGACAAGTACGTTATTAGTCGCAAATTACAAACTACGATTCTATGTTATATTTGGCTAATGATGATTATCTTTCTACAACTTCTGTACATAAAATGCTTAAAGAAAAACAAGAAAGTATAAAGTTGTCGACTATGTTTTACGATGGAATGTTTCTATGAAAACCATACAATTATAGGTAACATATGGTGCTGATTTCTAATACGATAGTCTAGATTACTTCTAGAAATTCAATTTTCACAAGTCAAAATTTTTATCTATGTGAACAAATATTTAGACATATGAAAGAAGTTCTTAGTGAAAAATAAAAATTTTAGTTTTAGTACAATATTTTTGCAAAAAATAATTTTTATTTCAGTTGAAACAAGTTTACAATATGTTTTTTACAATATTTGAAATCAGTAGTTTCATACTCTTTTTATATCTCTATTTCACAACTTTCATCTATGCTTTTATGCTAACTCACATTGCCTAAAATAAATGCATATTGTTTTTGATGGCATCAAATTATTGACTTTTAATACCAATTGTGTCATTCTTTTATCTGTATCATGAAACATTGAACGATAAATAGCCTTTATTTCTCTGAAGAAACGATCTGTTTCTTGATGATATCTGTTTCTTCAGAGAAATAAAGGCTATTTATCGTTCAATGTTTCATGATACAGATAAAAGAATGACACAATTGGTATTAAAAGTCAATAATTTGATGCCATCAAAAACAATATGCATTTATTTTAGGCAATGTGAGTTAGCATAAAAGCATAGATGAAAGTTGTGGAATAGAGATATAAAAAGAGTATGAAACTACTGATTTCAAATATTGTAAAAAACATATTGTAAACTTGTTCCAACTGAATTAAAAATTATTTTGAAAAGTGAGAAATTATTTTTTGCAAAATATTGTTGTATCAAAGATATAAAGGCTACGCTTGCGGCGAAAATTTCATTTCTCGCTGATAACTTTTGTTGTACAAATAAATTTTAACTTGTGAAAATCACATTTCCAAAGGATTAAAGGTAGTCTCAACTCTCATATTCGAAATCAATATCATCGGCTACCTGTAACAATATGGTAAATTCATTTTCCGTCTGAAAACGTTTTCTCATTAATCTATAACCTTTAGTTTAACTTCTTCCTCCTAACGACTAGTACTTTCACAATCGTTTTGTATACATTTAAATTTATTTTGAGAATTTATTCATATTAAACTGTTAACTTGACAAATTCTCAGCTATTTTGAATGTACAGCATAACTCTGTTTTTAACAATCTCTTCTTTTTTTTCAAAAAATTTCGTCTAATCTATTACTCAGATTTAGTGTCAAATCAAATCAATATTTAACGAAATTATTTTGAGAACAAAACCTTTCATCTACTTTGTCATTAAACAGAAAAAAATAGCTGAAATTAATATCCATATTTATCGTTATCTACTCTATTATCATCATTATGTCCATGTTTTTTTTCCCAAAATTTATACCCTCATTTTTCCTCTACTGTTTTCTCTTGCTATGTCACTGTAGTCAAGAATTCTTGCGTATCTGTCTTTCCTCACATTTATTATAATATATATATTCGAACTATGGCATTTGATTCTAAGATGTTGATAAATCGATCGTTTCTTATCGATTTTTATTTTCTGTCATGTTCTGTTTCTTCTAAAAAATAAGAGATTGAACTAAGTTTACTTTTATATATCTAATAGATAGATATTTTTAATGATAATTAATATAACGCTCTGATATTCTAATGGTAAACAAGAACATTCATGGATTTGTATCATCAACTATTGTACGTAGACAAATTCAAACGAAAAATAATAGGTAAAATATATATAGAATGAATGTGCTGATTGTTTCTTTCATTTTAATAATATTTTTCTTGTTTTTTTTAAATAATCAAATGAATAATAGGGAAAAATGAATATTTCTTCTTTATGTTGTACCATCACTTAACAGATCATTTCTGTTGAGATATAACTAAACTATGTTCAGTTATCCTTAATTTCTGATAATACAAAGATGAGATTTTATTCTTCATTACAATAAATGTTGAATATAAAATAGAAATAGTATTAGAAAGTGAAGATAACTGAAATGTTGATAAAAATATTGTATCATTGGTAAGATTTGACTAAAAACTATTATTTATTGATATTTGAATATTTGATGGTACTCATATTCTAAAAAATAACGGAGCGAAAGCGTGAGAGGCTGTGTGTGCTTTATTTCAAATATATATTTATATATGATCAATGTTCGATCTCAGATTATTTTTTATTTCAAGCAAAAAATAAGACTTCAAACTAAGATGAATGGATATTTGACAAGAAAAAAATGAAAGAGAAAGGTAGTAGATCGAACATTTGAACTGTTAATACGATAATCTATTTGGAAAAAAAATATTTTGAATTCTAATGAAAATTAAGTTTTAATCTCATATTTTGTCTCTAAGTACAAAATTATCTTATGATACACAAGAAAAATTTGAATCTATTAATTTTAATACAGAATGATAAAATGTATCATTCATCAGTATAGACTAATTTAAAAATAGTTTCTATCTGTCAACAATTTACTTACCCCTTAAATTTTATTAATTTGACAAACAGAAATTTTTATCTGTTTATAGTCTATCATTTGTATAGATAACGTATTAATCCACCGTCACCACAACAATAATAATAATAAGAAGAAGAAGAAGAATTTATTCTAATGAAATAAGAACGAAAAATATTAATAATAAATCAGAAAGACAAGGATGATCTCTATCTTATTTGAGATACTAAATAGTGATACTATCCTTATCATTATTATTGTATAGGTATATCGAGATCTTTGGTTGAGAAAAACACAAAAAAAAAAAAAAATAGAGAGAACATCCACCGAAAAACGTTCTATATGCCAGTTTATTCTTTTCTCTTGTTCTACATTTTCTTCTACTTCTTGTTTTTGTCTAACAAAACAGAGTATGGAATCTCTCTCTCTCTCTCTCTATATATATATTGACTATTTACATAAAATATAGCTAAAGGAAGTTCAATAATTTCGGTAACAATAAATTGTTGATATGCCAAACAATTGTGAATGGATTTAATTAAATATACCGGTTGTCTGTTTATTATTTATGACAATAATCTGTCAGATTATTATAGCAACTGACTTTTTCTATGTCATATTGTTCAAATATTCGATTGAATCATGTGAAATATACAGATTCTATCTCTATAATTAACAATAAGATAATCAGATTATTCAGTTCACTCTTCTTTTCTTTCTCTTTTTTTTGTTAAGATAAATGTCAGACTAATTCATTATCATTCTAAAATATAAATAGAAAACAGATTTCTATGATATCTTTATTTTCTCTTTTCTTAAAGATATTTATTTAGTCTTTCAGTTTCAAAGACATCAAGAAAATTGATGAAAATAATTTCTAAATCAAAAATTATTATTTCCTTATGATAAATTGTATATTAGAAATTTTAAAAATAATTTAGAAAATATTAAAAATATTTTTTCATTAAATTTTATAATAAAATTTTTCTAAGATAATTATATTTTAGGATAGACTAACTATTTTAGAATAATTTTAGACTAAAAAATAATTATAGATTACTATCGGTGTTTTCATTGGAAAAAATCAGTTGTCTAGTATTTCTTTATGTCAATATAATTTTTATATTCTAATATTTCTAAACATAATTAATGTCAAAAAAAAACCCATTTGGTCTAATTATTTTTTTTGACTGAAATGACGTCAAATACGTGCTTATTTAGTCCTAATAAAAGCAAGATCTTTTTTTATTTTTTGTTTTGTCTTACTTTTCTTCTTTTATTTATTTATTTTTTGTTGCTTTTCTTTCTGTAAGATATGCTTATGTCTGTTAGTATTGCATTGTATGATTATTGATGAAACAGAAGATTAATATGTCACGTTTGTATATTTCTTCTTTTCTCTTCTTTTCTCTCCTTTTTTTTTCTTATTTACTTTTATTTGTTTTTTGGTTGTTATTTATATAATTTTTGATGATTATTATTATAAACAAAACATTATCACTAGATTCTGTAGCACCCCATGTTGGTATCGAATAATCATCAATATATTTATCTGTATACAATGAACATATAGAGACTAAAATGTGCAATTTAGATCATAAACTATCTTTAACAGATTAGCAGATTAAATCTAGTTTTGTAATCGTGTTCGCCATTCATCAATTTGTCCTTCAAAAACACTCCTTCTAAGTGGCTTTAGTCAATTGTAATTAATTTAATCTTTATCATATGTATTGTTTGTGCATCAATATATTACTCTCTTTCTTTAAAATATCATCACGTCATCACGAATGATAATTTGATTAAGAAGAAGAATATCATTCTAGTAGATGAAGTATTATGAGAATAGAGTAGAAAATATCAGCTAATCATAGGAGAGGTTTACAAGTTGAATATAACATACGTAGATTTGTATTACAACGATCTATGTTTACATTAATATGATGGATACTGTTTTCTGTCAAAAATGACAAGATTTGTCTACAAGAGATTTTTTTTTGTTTTACAAGTTCTACAATATTTAAACAAAAACATTATTTTTATTAGAACCTGTTCAATAACAGATGTATTAAAGTTAACTATAAAACATGTACAAATAAAATTAGATGATGCATTGTCCCTTGACAACAATGTATTAAATATAAATATCGAGAAAAAAAAGGATGTGGATCGAGTAAGCTTGAAATGTCTCCCTAGATAGATTTACTTGTTTTCTTTATCAGAATTATGTCAGAGTGACGTCAAAAACAGTTTTTTTGATGTCTGAAAGATTTAAAAAAAGAACTTGTTTTTCTCGAACTTAAATAAAATGACATGAAATCTATATAATCGAGTGTACTCATCTCGAATACCAACTGTATTTAACATTCTAACCCACAATTGCAACCGAATGTACTAAACACGTCTAGACCTGTGCGTCAGTCGGAAAAACGGCGGCGTCGTGTATAAAAGTTTTCCGACCAGCGGCGGCAACAGAGCCTAGTTAAAAGATTTTCCACCTTCAGCGGCTAAAAGATTATTTAAAACTTTGAATCGTCAGCGGAGAGGCACAACCAGACTTGAATAAGCCAAGATCTATTGTCAACTTCATTAAACTTTTTATTTTGTTTTCAATCAAAATAATGAGACTAAAACAAGTTTGTACGGCGAAGACGTCCAAAAACTTTCGATGGCAGCGCCAAAAATCAAAAAACAATTATCTATCAGCGGCGGCGGAGCTAAAAATCTTAGTTATCCATCGACGTACAGGTCTAATCACGTCAACGGATCGAAGGATCAAGATAGAAATCAGAAGCATCGGTCAAAAAATCGTGTGTTATTTTTAATACTTTTCTTAATACTACCCAGGAATAACTCTATCTAAACTGAAAATTATAATATACGTACAACTTGTTTTACTCTATCGATTTGTTAAATCGAAAATTTCACAATTCATCTGCGTCATGATCGGAATTATTCCAAACTGCGTTACTTCATTCTTCGATCCGTTGACGTGTATTCAGCTCATTTTTGAACAAAAGATTATGAACATGTCCGACGAATTTAGAATAATGATGGAATGAAATTTGGCAAGGCTAAAGGAGCGCCAATACAGTAAGAAACATTTTTTCCAGTGAAAATAGGGGTTATCTGAATGTTAAATACAATTGTTATTCGAGATGAGTACACTCGATTATATAAATTTCATATCATTTTATTTAAGTTTGAGAAAAACAAATCAAAAATCGAATATTCAAATTTTATAAAACTATTAAGGTATAGAAACTGTTTCTGATGTTACTCTGACATAATTCTAATAAAGAAAACAAGTAAATCTATCTAGAGAGAGATTTTAAGCTTTACTCATTCACACATTTTCTATATGAATGGGCAAAAATTTTAATAGGCATAATAAAGTAACAGCAGTAATCTTCATTTTATAACAATGTTCGGTATACTATGTTTCAGTTCTTCCTTTTGTCGGCACACAAACCGATGTAGATGTGTCAGTTCCTTCTTCTTATACCTGATTTCCGCTTGTAATATATTACCATAACACTTGTGAATCAATTTATCCATGGCCAAACGTGGATTAGCCAACCTAAATCTCACAAATTTGGGTATCAATTCTTCTCTCTTACATGCCTTCAGAAACAGCAGATCACATTCCAACCTTCTTAAACATATCATTAGCTTAACAACATTACCATACAGTTGTGTAATTGATTTGCCATAAAACTGCCAACTATATTTGTACACATTTTCTTTATGAATGGCCAAAAATTTTAATACGCATAATAAAGTAACAGCAGTAATCTTCATTTTATTAATAAAATGAAGATTACTGCTGTTACTTTATTATGTGTATTACTCATTCACGTTCTATACTTCAATAGTAATGAATTTTTCACATGTATTGAATAATATTCAATTTTGGTTTGACTATTTTAAGGTTTAACAATTGAGATTATTTATTAATAGAACATGCAAACGATTACATTTAAAAAAAAACCTAACTAAACCTAATAGAAAAACAACAACAATGATGAGATATTACTTATTTTCCCAGAGAGTATACAGTGCAAAAAAAGAGTAAAAGAAATATTGAAAACAGTAAAATTTGTGAGTATATTATCAGATCGTGAATAATAAGAAATAAAAGTAAATCTTTCACCATTACTAATATGTGAAAAATTGAGAAAAATAAACAAAATGAAAAAGAGAAATTGAGAATACAAAAACGAAATTATTGCACAGAATAAAAATAATAAAACCACACACATACAAATAGAACAAATATCTGATAACAAATACTGATAAAATAAAATGGAAAAGATAAAAAATAAACGGAATTTTTAGTGCTAAATTGAAAATTTAATTATTTCATTGTTGATTTATTTATTTTTATAATTCATTATCATCTATATTCGATTTCAATTGTTCACGTAATAAACTATCTTCATTCTCACCTTCTATTCGTACTGTAGTATTTCCTGTTTGTGCTTGTCGAACACCTCGAATACGAATACTAAAATAGAAACAAAGAAAGAAGAGATAAAACATTCTATTCTCAATATATCCAATAACTATATTTTTTATCATATTCAACAATTTTTTTATTTGATTATTTATTTTTTGTAAAGTATAACTATAATCTGTTTATACTAAATATTTTTTAAATCAAATAATTAAATAGAGATAACTATAATTTTGATTTTTAATGTTACAATCTTAAAACAATTACGACTTGAAACTGTCTTTTTTGTCATTTTAATTTTCTACAATGTACAATTTCACATAAAAAATATAATATAAAATTAACAAAATTATTCTAAATAATTGAAATCATAGATGAATTTTTAACATTTTTACAGCAATTGAAAACATTTATCTTAAAATCCATCATTATGTAAGAATTAATGTATATTGAACAGTGCTAATTGAATACATGCAATTATGAGCAATAAACTCTTTTTAAATGGTCATCATTCTACGTTCATTCTTGAAAAAACCTACTTAGAATTTCATAACTTTCATTTCGTTTTCGTTTTTTGTTGTTTTAGTAAGATTTATGCTGCCAATAATTAAACAAATACACATTTATATCGGATACGATATTGTTGGCTAATAAAAGATTTTTTGATATCGCATAAAATATGTGTCATATAAGATGAAGAGATTAAAAAATAAGTTCTTTCTTAATTCATCAAAATGAATAAACTGCAAACATTCGCAGATGCGATCAGTAAATATCTTACACAAATTCTCATTCTTTTAAGATATTAGGGAACAATAAAAATATTTTCATAATTAAAAAAAATAATAATAAAGATTATCTTTAAAATACGTACCATGCAAGACCCATACGTTCGACATCTTCTATCGATTGAGGTAATGGTTTGTTTAATGTTTCGGGAAACATAAGTGCAAGAATGGCTGCTATTAATGATACAATACCATAAAGAACAATAGGAAATTCTGTCCATATACGGGCCTAAAAGAATATAGATTAAATAGAAGATTACAGTGATTAATTTGAACATATTTACCAATAGATCGTTACATGTCGTACCAATTATAGCTCCAATACCTAAATAATTTTAAACATTTTAATAACTAAAAAATAAAATTTTTGATATTTTGTTAAGGTTTTTAGAAAATCCTCATTTCTATAAAACAAATATAGACGCATAATTTAAAAATCAGACTCTATCAACTCCTAGCTATAGATGTTATCTACAAATTAAAAAATAATTTTCTTTCTCCGATGTACTGTTACCGAGAATTCCTGTGGGTGGCGAAAGCCCTGAAGCCAAAAACCAGTCTTAAGAAAAATGCAAAATAAGTTTTGATTCTGTTAAATGCGTTTTAGTTAAAAACTGTTTGAGCGACAAAACAAGTTGTTGATATTTTGCTACAGGTTATCGGTCATGGCGAATCTAATGAACATGTGCGCGGCCATGTGCGGCACATGCGTGCGCTTATGCAACACAAGTGCAAAAAAGCCATTTTTTTCTATAGGACTTCTAAAAAACTCGCTCAAAACCTATGAAAAACCTCTCTTATTGACACAAAAATTATGCCATTACAAAACAGACACTTTGGGCTATCCAACCATGTTCTTTTCTCAAAATCAATATTTTGGACGAAAATCGGCATTTCTAACCCCGGGAAGAGTCTTAAATAACTTACGTGCAACCATACTGCATATTCCCATTCCTGTATTTCTCACTCTTGTCGGAAATAGTTCATTGGCATAAATGTAAATAATTGCATAAGAAAATGATGCCAAAAATTTTAAAACAACATTAATTATAAAAATCATTGTCTTTTGACCTAGACAAAAAGAAAAACATATTTAGAATTGTCTACTATTTTGCAATAAATAGTTGATTGCATTACTGGCACTATCTTTTAACATTAATAAATTTACGGGTATTGCAGTTAAAGCAACAATACCAAATAATACCACTGATCCACAGTAAGGAATTTTTCTACCAACACGATTAAGAATAAGATGAACAACAATATATGAAAGTAATTCAACAAATGCGCTAGCTGCAAAATTTAAATATGGATCAAATGGCCAGCTTCCTGTATTCTGAGATACGCCATAAAAAACAAGATTTTGAACAAGCCTAGAGTAAAAAAGAATAAATTAAGAATTTATCTACACATTTCTCCAAGAAAAAACAAAAAACATACCATTGAAAAAACAAATTAATACTAATAATACACATTATTTTTGATCGAAATAAACTGAGTACACCAACTTGTTCGGCTGTATTCTTCATACTCTTAAAAATAAAATAAACGTATAAATAGTAACATTCTATTGAGTATATAATAAATATACTTTTTCCTGTTCAATTTTTAGTTGTTCGAATGCATCACGATCAAAATTTCGTTTATTTATAACAGCTATGCGTCTCAATAGTTTTTCAGCTTCAACAAACTTTCCTTTACTAACCATCCAACGAGGTGATTCTGGTAAAAAACTATAAATAGAACAGATTTTTATACACATTATTATTCATTATCATGAACTCACAAATAAAAGAATAGAAATGGTATTGTAAATATTGATAATGACCATGATAATGTCCGCCATGTACGAATAAAATAAGCAAAAAATACAAGAATAAATTGACCAAATGCAAAAAAATATTCAATTACAATGCCCGTAAATAATTTTTTATCTGGACCAACTAATTCTGATCCTAAAACATTAGATGACAGTATTTTAATAAAGAAATTATAGTTGAATTTTGAACTTTACCAAGTACAAAGCCCGAAACAGATATTCCTCTTGTCGCACAGGCAAGTAAAAATCGACCAATTGTATAACCAATATAACTTGGCCAAAAACCCAAACGTTTTTGTGGAAAAAATGCACATAAAAATCCAGAAAATGTCATTAGGATAAAACTAACGCTCATAAGGGTTCATACTTTAAGAACGTCCAGCAGAACTTAAGGGATCTCACCCTCCGTCTGTCAGACTTTGTCCGGTTTTTGATCACCTCCTCCCACCAGTGGACGTTAGATCCAAGAAAATTTTGTTTCCTCTTACCAGGAAACCTATCCAAGTGATATCTTCCGATTTCGTTCGTTCATACGTCGATCGATATAGGGTATCGAGGCAGTACAAATGCTTAACAGGATTTTCCCCTATGACTCATGAAGACCCAGTTTTTCAGAAACTCTAAAGAATAACCAAAACCATTCTTAATGAGATATGATTGTAGCACGCAAATTTCTGATTAAAATGAGCCACCTCCCAACTCTACATGACCTTTCTTTACAAAGTTACAGAACTTACAAGAAAAGTCCTAAATATTCATTGTCAGCTCAAAGCTACAGAAATAAGAAGAAATAAATTTAGGGCTTTTCTTGTAAGTTCTATAACTTTGCAAAGAAAGGTCATGTAGAGTTGGGAGATGGCTCATTTTAATCAGAAATTTGCGTACTACAATCATGACTCATTAAGAAAGGTTTTGGTTATTCTTTAGAGTTTTTGAACAACTGGTTTTTTCAGGAAACCGGATCTTCAAGAGTCATGGGGAAAAATCCTTTACGCTTATTACTAGCTCGATACCTTCTATCGATCGACCTACGAACGAACGAAATCGGAAGGTATCACTTGGATAGGTTTCCTCGTTAGAACAAAATATCCTCATTAAAAAAAGAAACAAGATTTGATAGCCACACAAAAAAATTAAAAAGTAGATCATTTATCGTGCAAAAATACTAAATTTCAGAAATTTTCCAGGCGTCTAATATTATTTGTGCCCTCCCCGCCCCTTTGTTCGAATTTGTCCGCTTTCTACCGACCCTTCCCTACATCTTGAGACATGATGTCCTTAAATGATGGCCCCTAATCGGACGTCTACCATATCTATAGTTGCATATATATTTTAAACTTCTGTTTCCTATTTTATAAATATATTTGACTTACTTATCAGCTAATATGCCAAAAACGATTGAACCTACCATATATCCCACAAAAAATATATTTTGAACAAGTGATCGATAAAAAACTCGGTCGCATACCATTGTCCACTAAAAAACAAATAAAAATAAATAAATTATAGTTGTTAAATATATTGACATGATGTATCAATATCAATTAAGTTATGAAATCTGTTTCTCTATAATCATAAATCAGTAGAATGGATGACACATAATCTTGACATAATAAACCACTATTACAATTACACTTTATGTGTTTTTCTACTTGTATAAGATGATATTCTCATTTGACTTACTTCTTCAACAAGTGTATTTTTATAGTACTTTCGATCGAAAACATAATTTTGACACGATTGAACTTCTGCATTATTGTTATCTCGTAAAGATGGCGGTGTTTTAATATAGCATCGCTGACATTCTTTAACTGAGATTGCTGTTTTATTAACTTTACAATAATCTACATTTGGTTGATAAAAATTTTTATATTGATCATTGGTAAATATATCTTCAACATTACTATCAGGTATTTTACATCGAAATTCTGGCGAAGCAGCTGCAAACGACCATGTATAAACCATAATGGGTGGTAATGTATACGATAGACATATGACAAAATATTTTACTTTTTGATATTTTCCAAAACTTCCAACAGTATGTAGAAAATCATCATACGTCATTTTTTGGCGTATAAAGAATTAAACTAAACTATAAATCTAAATAGTACATTCAAATTTCATTGTTTCTCATGCCATAAAAGAGTATTTTCTCTGAAGATTTCAGATAGATTGATTGTTTAACAATCAAGATATAGTCTAAGTACATAATTACCCAAAAAAAATTCTCGATTTATCAAAAAATAAAATTATCTCTACAGGAAAATCTTATGAAAAAACATTTGATCCCAACTCACTAGATAATTTCTTTAAATATCTTCCGATCTATCATCAAGGTTGGTCCAAATTTACAAAATCTGTTCTCTTAGTATTTTCAAGAAAAAGCAACTCCTAATTTATATCGTGTGTACAAGCTGTAAGCGAAAATATATATATTCCTGTTTAATTTTTCAACAGTACCAATTTAACTTTTCTTTATTCTAGCGTGTCTCTTTCGTTTTCTAATTGCATCCTAATATCTTTTGTCATCATTCTCAATTAATTGAATGAATATATAACGTTGAATAGTAATAGCTAAGAATATACTATTCTTTTATGCGGACTTTTTCATATTATGTCATTATTAAACCAAAGCATGTGATTGAGTATAAAATGATTACATTTTAGAAGAGAAATGATAAATTAAATACCAGTAGGCGACAATTTTTGAAATAATTTCATGTTAATTGCAGCTAATTTTAGAATTTTATTCTACAAATCTTGATATTTCGACTAGGACTGTAAAAGTTCCCGTTACTTCTTCTAGCGTTATCGACAACGGTAACTAGAACAACAATTGCCGTTAAAACAACGGTAACTGAAAAGACAGTTCCCGTTACTTTAACGATAACTGTGTTTCAAGTTACCGNAAATAATTTCATGTTAATTGCAGCTAATTTTAGAATTCTATTCTACAAATCTTGATATTTCGACTAGGACTGTGAAAGTTCCCGTTGCGTTGATTTAATGCTAACTGAAAATACAGTTAGCGTCAAAACAACGGTAACTGAAAAGACAGTTCCCGTTACTTTAACGATAACTGTGTTTCAAGTTACCGTTGAAATAACGGTAACTATCAGTTAGTTAACTTTGTGGTAACTGTTTTTTAAGTATGGCCGAAATATCCTCGCAGTGGCTTAAAATGGCTTCCAAAATCGTTAGTTTTCCACTAAAACTATTGAAACATTCATAAATGACATGGTTTTGATTGGCACACACGT